GGATGGATGGATGGATGATGGGTGGATGGATGGATGGATGGATGATGGGTGGATGGATGGATGGATGGATGATGGATGGATGGATGGATGGATGGATGAATGGATGGATGGATGGATGGATGAATGGATGGATGGATGGATGGATGGGTGGATAGATGGATGGATGATGGGTGGATGGATGGATGGATGGATGGATGATGGATGGATGGATGGATGGATGAATGGATGGATGATGGATGGATGGTGGATGGATGGATGGATGGATGGACAGACAGGTGAATGGATGAGTGGACGGATGGAGGACAGCTCTCACATAAAGCTAGCTGACCTATCCTAAGGGAGAGCTGTCTCCAGGGGATCCAAGATCCCGCGGAATGACTCCATGGCACCTTCTCCCTCCCGGGGTTAAGCCAGGGTTTGGGTCTAGAGCACACTGAGCTGTGGGGAGGGGCAGGGGGCCGCAGGACCCAGAGCCCACCTCCTTCCAGAGAGCCTGGTGAGACTCCACGTCCTGAGGAAGGTTCCCGAAGTGCTGGGAGAACATCTCTGACAGCAGGATTAGGTCCTCCCAGCCCTGGTCGGCCAGCCAGCTGCAGGGCTTCTTATGCTTGCTCTTCTCCAGGGAAATGTTGCCTGTTCCGAGAGGAGAGGCGGCGTCAAGGGCCCTGGTGGCAAACAGGCGCCCTCTGATGCTTCTCACTCCTGCTTTCCACAGAGAAGGCTGGACAGGAGACGGGGAGGGGATTTGTCCCTGTCGCTGCCAGTGGCTCCCACCAGGCCACCAGGACCAGCTTCCAATTCCAATCCTTGGGCAGAGGCTGCTTCCTTCACCACCACTTTTCAAACTGGAATTGAACTGAAAGCCGACAGCCGCCACCACCTGGTCAATCCTGCCTTGCTGTGACCCACGAGAGCAGTGCAGAGGGAGCCCCCGCAGGGTCTCAAAGTGGGGGGCTGTCACGGAAGCAGACCACCCCATCTTCCCACGGAGCGGAGCGGCTGGTGGGTTCAGACCGCTGACGTTCCCATTAGTAGCCAAGCGCTCAACCACCCACTGACTCTGGGAGGCCAAAGGTCAAGAAGAAACTGTGTGGACATTGTTGTAAGGGACAAACTGGTGCACAGCATGGGTCAGGGAGATGGGGCAATGGACACCAGGCCAAGGGTCACCTTTGAGAAAGAAGTTGAGTTCCTCCTGCGGCACACGCCCCTCCGCCTGCTCAATCTTGATGGTCATGTTGAAAGAGAAGAGCAGCTTGTGCTTCTCAAACAGCCCTGCCGGAAACGGGGAAGGGAAAAACGGAGATGTCAGGAGAGTCGGTGTCAAACTCAAGTTCACTGCTGTCAGGACAGACTCACAGCTGACCCTAAGCCTCCGTCAGGCTGCGGGGCTGGAGATCACCTGGGAGGAAACTGCTCCTCTCTCTCTGTGACTGTGACGTGGCCACCTTGGGCTGCGCGGTGCCACGCTGTGGACGATGGCGGTTCGAATCCACCTGCAAGGGAAGGACGGACAGTCCTGTCCCGTGTGACCCACAGCTTCAGGAAGCCCACCAGTGGGGCTGTGAGGAGTCGGCTGCCACCAGACAGCAGGGAGGAAACACATCACACACACCCCCTCCTGAAAGCCAAGAATCTACCCCTGAGACAAACACAGGACCCACTTTCCAAAAACCTCGACACTGACGAAGTTCCCAGAAATGTAACACGTGACCGGGGAAAGAAGGACTCGACGCACGGGCTGGACGCTGAACCCCAGACGGCGTCCCCGGGCACAGACGCGGCCCTGCTCCAGCCCGCGGGCCGCCTCACCCGTGCACCCGTAGTTATAGATGTTGAAGGTCAGCGTGTCCATGATGTTCCTCAGCCGCTTGACCAGGATGGAGTCAGGCAAGGACTTCTTGAGGGACAGCCCAAACACCTCGAGGAAGGCGGTCAGGGAGTACTGGTACATGGAGTTGACCAGGGCCATCTCGGACAGGACGAAGAAGAGCAGGGCGCCCCTCCTGGCCGCCGGCCGGTAGCCGTCGCGCAGCCGGTCGATGTCCAGGGCCGTCTTCTCGGCCAGCTTGAGCTTCTCCGACACCTGGAGAGAAGGGGCACGTCCTGGGAGACTGTCCTGCACCCCAGGGAGCCATGGTGTGGACACGGTGCGGGCTCGTGGGACCAGAGGGTCAGAAGGTGCGGGGGGGGGGCAGCCAGGAAGCCAGTGCATGGAGCTGGTGGGGACGGGGAGCTTGACCCCCGTGATGGGTTGGCCCTGCAGAAGCCCTGAGCCTGCAGTGTGTCTGTGACGTGGTGGGGGAAGTCTCGGCACATGCCAGCCATGACAGGTACGTGAGGGACTACTGAGCAGGGCTGGTCCCGGCCAGGTGGGATCCTTACAGGAGGAGGAGACGCAGAGGGAAGAGGCCACGGCATGACAGGTAGGTGTCATGTTAAGCCGAGGGTCACCGAGGGACAAGTGGAGCCAGCAGAAATGGGGAGAGACCAGAACAGGTCCTGCCCTACAGCCTTCACCCCGAATTCCAACTCCCAGCCGAGCCCCGTGAGGTGACAAACATCCGTGTAAGCCGCCTAGTTGGTGGTATTAGTTACAACAGCCCAGAGGACGAAGACAGCTCCTCTACAACCATGACCCATTTCCTAGAAAGTCCTGGTGGCTACTTGGAGACCTTCCCCACCCTTTTACCCCATAGAAGATAGGGCTTCACCCCAACCTAAGAGGGCAGCACGTGACCCCAGCCCAGCCACCCAGGCCACGGGGCCTGCTTTAAGGAGAGCATAAGACTTAAAACGTGACTGCGCAACAGTGAACAATTGGAAACCCAAGTTCTTCATAAACTTTCATTAAAATATCAATTAAAAAAAGGAAGTGTAAAAAAAAACCCCAGCTATAAAACAAACAAAAAAGACTTAAGTGACTGTCAAGATGGTCATTACTCTCACTTCATACTTGACCCTGAGAGGGAGAGGTCAGAGCCCTCCTGTGACTCTGAGGTGAGCGTGGGTCCATGGGGACGCTGAGAATAGGGCCAGCTCATAGGCCATCCCGCTCAGAGAAGGAGACAAGCCAAGCCCTGACCCCTCTGCTGGGTGGACACAGAGTCCCCGGCTCAGCTGTGGAAGTGGAATGCATGTCTCATGGATGCAATCAATGCCACCGAACTGTGTGCTCAAAATGGGTTAAGAGGGTAAACTTTATGCTATGTATACACCGTATTTTTGCAGATAGCATACCCACAGAAGCAACAGGCACACAGACATAATGTGAATAGAAAACTAACTTCAGTAGGAGGGTTGTGTGGTCTGCAAAAACACAGCATGCATGTTATTTGCATAAAAATCGTGGTATATCTGTTTCATTCTAATGAAAAAGGGGGTCTGCCTGTCTCCTGGGGACCCTGGGCTGCACATACTCATGCATTGGCTACCATGATGGGGCCCTCCGTCTCTGGGACCCAGCTCAGGAGGGTAGACGGAGGGCCACCCTTCCTCATGAACCAGTCTTCCCCTGCCCTCCCCGCTCAGTGACTGCTCAGTGAGCAGCACTGGGCTCCTGAGGACCGGTCAGCGGCTTTGTATGCGCTGCCAGCGCCCTGCAGACAAGAGCTCAATCACAGAACAGCATCGTGCCCCAACACCAAAGCTGGCAGGCCAGTGAGGGCAGACAGGCCGCAGGCCCATCCCTGCGTCTACCTCGGTGGCCTTGGCCTTGGTCTCCTCCAGCGTTTGCACCAGTTCCACGTTGTCCAGCATGTTCCCTGTGGAGGTGGCCAGCTCCCGGAGCAGGGAGTCCTCCAGGTCCTTGAGTAGGTTCTTGTTCTCGCTGGTCTCCTGGATGAGGTGCTCCCGCTGCTCCTCCAGCTCCCTCCTCTCGAAGGCCACCAGCACGCTCAGCAGCTGGTCCTCCAGGCCCTTCAGGGTCACTGCAAGCGGGCAGTGAGCGGGGCCTCAGCGCAGCGTCCCCACCACAGGCTGCAGGCGCCGGGACAGGGCAAGCCTAGCCGGCGTCTATGCCCGCATCCGAGGGGCACAAGCCTCGAAGCCCACCCAGGTCACCCGAAAGCCAGACCACCGGGGAGTGGGCAGCGAGGAGGGCCTGAGTACAGGGTCCCTGCCACAGGCAAACCTAGCATCTGAGGGGCACGAGCCTCGAGTAATGCCGGACAGCCCGGGAGCAGCAAGTGGAGAGGCAGCCCTGCCTCAAACATGACCCAGAATCCTCCATGCTGCTGGGTCCCCACTTCAAGCACACCCCAAACTAGTGAGCTGACTTAGGGAGCTGTGGGATAATTTTGCTTCATTCTGTGTCAGGGGGAAGCCGTTTGCTCCCCTTAACATTCACAGCCTCAGAGAGCTGAGGAAGGTCACCGTGAGCAGGGAGGACTCGACGGCACTGGGCTAGGGTGGGTTTCTCTGGCTCTCACAAGTCTGGGGCATGTAGAGACGGTGTTTGATTTCTGCTAGCAGTGAATGGAGAGTTGTTGTTGCGGTTGATCGCCGTGGAGTTGAGCGTGACTCAGAGCCAACTCTATGAACAGAAGACCTAATGCCTTTCCATAACTGTCGTCATTTCTCCAAGTTCAGAGAGTTTCCAGAGGCATGTCGTTTAGGAAGTGGATGCCACTCCTGCTTCCAAACCTGTCTCAAACTGGGAGCTCCACCAAACACTGCCCACAACGGGAAGCCATTCTGATATCGAGAGTAAGAAAGGAAATAAGAAATCATGGTCTAAGTTTAAATTCACAATAGAGTCATTTCCCAATCCAGCAGGTGAAGGAGAATCCATGAGCCCAGGTCAGCTTGCACTCAGTGGACCTCAAGGCACGCAGCACCTCAAAGGGGCCTGGACAGCCGAGGCCTTGCTCAAAGGTGGAGATGTGACCAGAAAGACTGGGGGCTCTGGGTGAATGATGGCCCTGGGGGACTCCACCGAGGATGCATGGTGTCCGTGGAAACCACCTTCATTTGCAGGTGACCTATCCCGCATTCTTACCAGTGTAATTGATCACCATCGCTTTCCCAAACACCGACGGGCTGTATCTGGGGTTGGCCAGCTTGGTGTTTAGGTACAGCCTGAAGTTCGAGTCGTAATCCACTTCCTTGTCTCCGAGGATGATAAACTGCCGGCCCTGAGAGACCTTGATGTTCTTTTCTAAGACGTTATCGATAACAGGGTCTATGTACTCATCGACGTCATGGAACAGGAAAGGGGTCCCGTACTTGATGGACATTTCCAGCAGCTTCAGGAAGTCAGGGTCGTTAAAGGAGGCCACCTGCACGGGAGGAGAAGCAGGGCTGGACGCTAGTCCACCTGTGCCCTTGACAAACCCAACAAATGACGGCTTCCAAGTGGAGCGTGGGTGTGCCGCACCCTGATGGGGGCCCACAGAGGCTGAGAGGAGTCTGAGAGGAAGGGGCGAAACACATAAAAAAATCGAGGCATACATTTAAATTCACACCAACAGAGGCAACAGGAAAAGCACCAAGTGTGTAGTTCAAATAAGCCCGGAACGCATGGGACTCAGGCCCAGAGAGATCTGCATTGCAGAGAGCACAGTTCAGTCACCTACGTTACCACAAGAGCACTGGACTCTCTCTCAGAAGACCTCAGAGGGGTCCAAACGCAGAGGCCTCCAAAGAACTGCTCACTTCCTCTCTCTTCCCACGTGCCTCGGGACCAGACCAAGCAATGCCTCTTTCTTCAAAACACCTGAGAAAACGCTTCCTGGCTCTCTAGCCACAGGCCTCCCTTCCCTTCCACCTCCCTCCTTTCAGCACCTTCTAATGTTGATCCAGTTCACAAGTCTCTCCCCTCCTAAGCCAGCATCTTACTCCGTAAGGATGGAGCGGGAGGACTGGAGGGCCAGGAGGGGCATTTCAGAGCGCTCTGGCAGGCGATGGGAAGGTGGAATGCGAGACCCTCCAGTAATGTTCATCCTCCTTGGGTGACCTGTGCATTTCTGAGGTGGGGGATGCCCTATCTTAGAACTCACATGTCCCTCCACCAGATCAGCATGACTTGGACGTAAGGGCTTCCAGGAAAAGAGAGGTGCAAGTTAAAACTGAAAAAGACGTGTTAGTTCACCAAAAAGTGATCAAACCTCAGCAATTCTAATCCAAGGTACAGACCCAAGGGACGTGAAAATGTCCACAAGCGCGTGGATACGACTGTTTGCAGGAGCGTCATTCACAGACAACCCCGGCGCCCATCTGCTGACGTTAATGCAACGTGTTGTATCCACGCCACGGGCTTGAACTCGGCTGTGAAAAGGAATGAAGTCCTGACACATGCTACACGGATGAGCCTGGAAAACACCTCACGAAGTGGGGAAAGCCGGTGACTAGCCACCCCATGCCCCGTGGCCCCGTTTCTCTGATATGTCCAGGACAGGAAAAGCTGAGAGGCAGCTTTAGTGGTGCCTGGGGCTGGCGGGGAGGAGAGCCGCGGCCTAAGGTGTGGGCTTCTCTCCAGGGTGATGAACAGGTCCCAGAATTGACTATGGTGTTGGACTGATGACTGCAGAACTCTGTGAACAGGTTGAACAATGATCAACACCCTTAATGGGAACTGTATGGAAGATGCCTTAAACCGGATTACATCACCGCAAAATTCACATCAACTTGACTGAGCCATGATTCTCAGTGGCCTGGCGGCTACGGGATGATGTAACAGGGCCGCTCTGGAGTGGCGTCATTGACCTTTCCCACTCCCATGATACAATCACAGGTGACCAGCCAATCAGGGGTTAAGGGTGACTCAGGTTGGAGTCCTGATCTAAGTGGCATTTCCCTGGAGGGCTTCTTATCTTACAATAAAAAAAAAATAAATAAAAAAAATTAAAAAAAAGAGAGAAGAAAGGGAGGGACCTAAAGGCCATCAAGGATAAGGGGCCAGAGTGATGCATGTCCTTCAAGCCCAGAACCATCTGCAGAGGAGCTCCTAGACCCAGGTGGGTCTGGAAGGAACGCTGGATCTGCAGACGTTGGGCAAAGACAGGCACCTTCCGCCAGAGCAGAGAGAGGAAGCCTGTCCTTAGAGCTGGCCCCCTGAATTTAGACTTCCAGCTGACTGAAACTGAAGAAGAGGAAGAGGAAGAGGAGGAGGAGGAGGAGGAGGAGGAGGAGGAAGAAGAAGAAGAAGACGACGACGACTCTTTCCATCTAACCTACTCACTGGCTGTGTTCTGTCTCAGCAGCCGGGGAAAGCTAAGACAGATGCTCCATGAGCTGCAAACAAATGAGCGAACACAGAGACTGGGCACTGGCCGCCCCGAAGCCTTGGACTGGGGGGAGGAGGCTCAGAGAACACAAACGTCATCTTTGGGTCCACGCTGCTCACAGTCTGAGAGGGGCTTTGTAAGTAAAGAAGAGAAGTATGGGGACACCGTTGAAAAGAAACAGGATGCCCTTCTTGCTCCAGACATACCTACGGCACCAAAACCTATAGCAGTAACACCTGTGGCTACACTGGAGTCCTGATGTGAGATGGGAACCTTGTGGCGGAAGAGCCAATATTGGCAAGACTGAGAACTTTGTTGGACAGCTTGGGATGCTGATATCAGCAGGACTAAGAACTTGGTTGGACAACTGCAAGTGGGAAGCTAATAGAGGCAGGACTAAGAACTTGGGAACACTGGCCTGAGACCTCAAGGCTTGAAGCTGCAGGGCCTGCATGTACATTTCGGGAGCTGCTTGGCTATATTGTGGTGTTAATCGGATTATAAACTTTGAACTACCCCCGCCCCAAAAAAGAAAAGAGGAAGAAGAAGAGAAGTGTGCTCGGTGCTCAAAGCATCTGGAAGGCTCTGCAGGGCCAGCAGGCAGAGGGGGTACGGCTCTGCTCAGGATTTCAGAATTGGGCCCAGGATTGTTGGGAGAGCAGAGGAGGCTTCTCTGCTCTGCCCCATGGGGGACCTGAGGGAGTGGGCCCCCAGATAGAGGACACTTCACTGCAGCTCAGCTCTGAGGAGGGGGTGCCCCAGCGGGGACCTCGGGCAGTGAGCCGTACCCGAAGGTTGTTTTTCTCCTCTTTCCTCTTGATCCAGTTGAGGGCCTGCTGCTGGGGGTCGATGCACAGGGGGAAGCGGCTGGCCCTGGTGGTGAGGATGCCGTTCTGAATGGACAGCTCGTCGGGCGGCAGTCCCTGGGAGCCCCACCTGGAGGGGACAGGGACAGGGTAGTGACCAAGGACAGAGGAAGGTGGGTGGGTAAGCCAGGAAAATCCACCCACTGCAGGCCACGGACTGCTGATGGTCTTGGTGCATGGCGTCAGTGGCCAGGACTGTCACCCGTCAGTCATGCTACACAGAGCAGAGCAAGCTCACACACCCCGGGGGATCCCCCCCTGGCCAGGGCTGTCACACTTCAGCCACTCTACACAAAGCAGAGCAAACTCACACAGAAACCCCGGGGTGGGGGGGGGTCCCCTCACTACTGCCCACACCTGCTAATCTCCACCTCGTCCGTGAGCAGGCTCTCCAAGCGGAAGGGCTGGCTCAGCGGGATGCCCCGCTGCAGGATGTCGTCCTGCCACACCTGGCTGACCATCTCGTCCCGGAACTCCCAGGTGAAGGCACCCTCGTAGCTCAGAAACGCGGCGCACAGCACGCAGTCCCCCAGCAGCTTCACACGCCGGTGCATCAGCTCATCCAGGTCGTTCAGCCACCTGCAGGGGAGCCAGCAAGCTTACCTTCCCGCCACCCTCCTCTGGAACGTTCCAGAAGGAGCAGCTGGCTACGCTGCCAGAGGCGACTTCACCTCTATCTTCTATCCACCTTCCCACAATGCGCCTGACGCTTGGGCACATCGTGTCCTGCTCCAGGGCTCTGGAACTTGGCAAGTGGCAACCAACTCACCCTACTGGTCAGCATCGACTTACAGTGCGTGACCTGGGGGTGCCCATGGGGGTGCCAATGGCTGTGGACTTTCAGCAGTCCACAAGGCCTATCTCCAACGTGCCTTTGCACGGAGTCAAACCTCCAACCTTTCAGCCTGCTGATCACCTAGGAAGCCCACCTCACTGAAGCAAAATGTCTGTGGACGGCACTCCGTCCCTGGGCTATGTATCAAGTGGTAGCTACACTGCCCCCAGGTCATCGGTTAGAGGCCCACACCGATGTGCCGAGGAGGACTAGCAAACCCTGCCCTGCTGGCCGGCAGAGGTCTCCCTGGGATCAAAAAAAACCACAGGATATTCTGGGGAAATGTCCACAGTCCTTCTAGAAAGATGAGAAACACCATTTGAACCAGCAGATGAGTGGGTTTGTCTGTGGGCACCAGCCGGCCCCGCCCACTTGAGACCGAAGCTCAGGGCCCAGCAAGCCCCCAGGGCAACATCCAGCGATGGGCTCTGAGCAGCAGAGGTCGCCTGGAGGCCGGCATTCCCAGGACCTGGGGCGCCCAGGGTACCCTGTCTCCCCTTGTGTCTCCTTCACCCTTCAGAGAACTCACACTTGCTGCCGTCCAGTCACCTCCAGCTCACGGGGGATGCTGGCGGATCTGACCCACCAGTGAACTTGAACTTCCAGAAAAACAAAGCGTTTTTAGCACACAGCTGGCGACAAGCTATGCCCCCAGCTCCCACACCCTTAGAGACTGCTGATAGAACGCTCAGGCCTGACAGGGGCTGGCCTTACAACACAGCACTGCTGGCTGTATTAGACGTGTTGTCACTGCTCTTACCAAGGTGGTTAGAACCCACAACTCTACGTCCACCACTGCTGGTGGTGGGCCAGCATCACAGCCTCCCTGTGCCAACCAAGCTCACTGGGGCAGCCGCCGGGCCATCCCCCTCACGGAGCGGCTTCCTCCTTCTCTGCTGGTCCACTGTGCCTCCCATGATGCTCCTCCGCAGAGACCTGGCCCTCCTAAAAATACAGCCTCAGAACAACACAAATGATTATCCCAGTGCTAATCTGTTCGTTCCCTGGCTTTGAACTCATGGCAAACAGCACTAAACTCCCCTGAGTGCAGCTGACACAGGCATCCTGTGATATTTTCTCTGGAAGGCACACTGTGGGCGTCTTGGGTTCAGGACACCATGCTGGGTCACAGTGAGCAGTGAAATCACCCCCACAGAGCAGTGCGTGTGAGAAGTCACACGGGCCTGGCTCCGCTTTCCAGCCTGACAGCGGGGACAGGAAGCTTCCACCTCTGCCAGGAACACGTACGGCAGGTGACCCGTGACTCTCCCACGCTGCCCAGTGTTGGGGACCCCCACAGAGAGGCCAGGAGTCCTGGTGCTGGGCAGCGCTAGCTCCCAGGTGGGCAAGGCCGGACCCAGGAGCCCAGCCGGCAGCAGGCTGACCTGACATTCTCCGAGCCGAGGCCGGAGATGAGCTTGTCGGCAGCGATCAACCGGCGCTCCATGATCTCCGCTTCCTCCTGCAGCTTCTGCTTCTCCAGGATGGCGGCCTCGTACTTGGCCCCCAGCGCTTCCAGCTCCTTCTGGATTGTGGCCAGCTCACTCTGGATCCTCTCCAGTTCCCGTTTGGTGAGGTAGTAGTTCCGCTCCAGCTTGGCCACCTGGGGAAGGGCGTGTGAAGAGCGCTGGGACAGAGGGACAGGGCGGGCCGGGGCGGGGGCACACCTTTCTGGGGCCACGGAGGCTGGTGAACCCCCAGAACTGCTGCCCCAGGTTCACCTTTAAGTTTTACCCCATAGATACCCCTCAGGTCTTCTTAAACCCAATTTGACTTAACTAGCAAAAAAATAAAAGTCTGCCTTGAGCATTATTTTCGTTTTAAATTAACATTTTCCGAGAACTCTGGCAAGAAGCTGCGCTGCAATCCCAGAGGCGTGCGGTTCAAATCCACCAGACGCTCTGCTGGAGAAGGAGAGACAATCTCCTCCTGTACCAGTCAGATCTAATTTGACGGTACAAAAATAATTAAAAAATAAAATTTATTTCAGTGCAGTATACATTATTGAACCCATCTTACTCAGTCTCTCCCCAACCTCAAGGACAGTCCCATTCTACAACAGTGGCACCATGCAATATTTGTCTCTCTCAGGGAGGAGTGATAGGGAATGGCAAGGGACACACTGACAAAGGAGATTAATCAGAACTGGCTTTGACAAGCACTGTGGCAATTGGACAATTAAAACAGACATGGGGGGGAAAGAAGAACGAACTGGGGAGGAGAGTGGAGAAAACAGTGCAACAATGAATGAATGAAAACCCAAAATCTCTGTAAATGTTCATTAAACTAATAAAATTTAATTTAAAAAATAAAATTTAAAAAATTGGGGGGGAGAGGTGGGCAGGGAGAAAAGTGCAACAATGAATGAAGGGAAATCCATCGTCTTTGTAAATTTTCATTAAAATGAATAAAAAAAGATAAAAATAAAATTAAATTTTAAAAAAGACATTTTTCTGACTTTTTATTATGATGTGGGTGAAAGTGTAAAGACTGAATTGATTTTCCACCCAACATTTCAGGCACATTTTATCAGGTGACCATGAGCCCAGCAATGTGACAGCACTCTTCCCACTTCCTCCCTGTGTCTCCTGTTTCCTTTCATCCTAAAAAAAAAAAAATAAAAAATATGGAACCCTTCACAGATTCGCATGTCGTCCTATGTAGGGGCCACGCTACCTTCTGTGTTCCACGTTAGCATCTCTGCTACCAGAACAAGCTCACATCGGGCTTTTTTCCAGGACAATGTACATGGCAGCAAACTGGCCACAGGCCCTTGAAGGGTTAGAGAGAAAGCTTGGGGTGGGGGTCTGTGAGTTGTGCTAGTCAGTGAGGAACAACTCAGAAAAGGAGGGTGAAGACAACTGTATGATGATAATCATGTCATCCATGTCACTGAATGGTTCTTGAAGAAACGACTAAATCTGGTCTTGTATACTTTCAACTATAAAAAGTAAAGATGTTGTTGTTGTTAAGTGCTGTCAAGTTGTAGGTGACTCATAGTGACCCTATGAACGAAAGTCCTCAACACTTGTGTGACTTTCATCCTTTCTCCAGGTTCATAAGCTTTCCGGAGGCAAGCTATTACGGAAGTGGATGCCACTCCTGCTTTCAAGCTTGTTTTAACTGGGGAGCTCCACCAAACACCGTCCGTCCACTATGGGTAACTATTATCACATTTGACACATCAGTGTCACAGTGTTCAGCTTCACAACGACCACAAGTTACCTCTGTACAGCAAGTGGACACACCAGGGCTATATCACCTAGAAGAATGTACCATATTTTACTATTCCGGCATGCCCAAATGCTGGAAAACTCTGGCCCAGAGACCCCTAGTTCAAGCCCTAGTTGGCAAGTCCGCTCTGCCGATACTCACTTGTGGGAAAAAGAAAGCCACAAGGGCTCCGAGCGTTCCATACTTGCCTCTCTGTCTCTCAAGACACAAGAGGCCACCTCCAGCTGACACTAAGACTCCCAAGAGAGATAAACAAAAAGCCTTGCGCTTAGGTTTGTTCCCACCTTGCACCTTTCAAGTGGCCACCCCATGACACCATGGAGGCACTGGCTTTTTGATGAGTTACATCTTCCATGGTCACTACTCTTTGCTATTGTCGTTGGGTGCCGTGAAGTTGACTATGACTTACAGGGACCCCATGAATGCAGGTCTGCACTGTGTCCTTCCTGGGGACACGTTTAGAAATTCTATCTCCAGGCCAGTCCCCTGACAGCAGTTTCCACCTCTTCCCCTCGGCCAGTACCTTTTCCCTTTTGGGCTTGATTTCCCGAAACACGTCGCAGTAGCCCATGACGGCTTCCACAAACTTGAGCATTCCCAGGCCAGCTTTGCTCACGGCCTCCATCTCTTCAATCGTGGTGTTGAGCGTCTTCAGGAGACCTGGAGCCCAGGGGGCAGCGCTGTCAGTGACCGTGAACTCCGTCTCATGGACACGATTGATAACTCCACCTCGGGCAGGGGAATGGGGGGGAGCCCGCCTTGCTCTCAGCCACCCAGGAACTGAACGCATTCCCCACGGCGCAGCCTGACTCCGTTTTGTGCTCGTGAATGTTTACGATGTGAGTCAGGGGCGCCCAGGAAATCCTGCGACCCGGCTACTTCTGAGTGACCCCCGGTAGCTCCAGTCTTCCCAGAGAATCCACTGGGAATCAAGAACAGGTCTTAACAGATTGTGTCCCCACCCTCAGTCCCCAGTTTGGTCACAGGATTAACTGGAGCCTGATCCATTGACAGCCTGAGAGAGGGTGTTCCATGTATTTGTAATTATTTAGTTCGAGCTGGTTTGTAAGGGGCTGAACAAGAACATTTGATGGTAAATTCTTAGCAAATAGTCCAGAGAAGCAGTGAAATTGCAACCCTTCCGTTTAATTGGATCGGCTCAGATAGGGCAAGGTTCAGAGCCGCTGTTCACAGGGCCACTATGAGCTGTGGTTGACCCAATGGCTCATAACAATAACAGGAGAAAGATATCACGCCTCACAGGGGGTCAACAGAAAAAAGAGAAGAGCCCTACAAGGCGGGCTGCACAGCGACCACCATGGACTCAAGCTGGCCAAGGCTGTGAGGATGGGGCAGGACCAGGATTCGTTCCCTTGTACATGGGTTTCCGGGGCTCAGACTCATTGGCACCTAACAGCTGCATCATTTCAATGGGTCAGGAAGGCAGCATAGTGAGACCCGGGCACTCTGCAGCCAAAGATTGATAGAGGGCTGGGGCCAAGCTGTCCCCTCCCTTGTCCACCCACCAAGGACCCATAATCCTACTGGTCCAGCCTGCAAGGAGCCACAGTAAGCCCTGTACTAGGCAAGGGAGCAGTCAAGACAGACGTCCGTGGGCGTCTGCTGTGGGGTCTGTCCAACACCCAACCTCCTGCCTCGGTGAGCAGCGATGTCCTGCCGTTTTCCTGGGACCCTCCTCATCGGACCCTCACTGGTGGCACTCCTCGTCCCACTCATTCCACTCCAGGGCCTCTGTGGTCCCATGTGAACCATTTGGGGTCTGCCAACAGGAAGCATCTTCCTACCCCCCACCCCCTCCCTTCTCAAGGGCTTAGATGCCAGCTGGAGCTGGAGGAGGGACCGCGGTCCACACTCACTTCGGATGTTCTTCACCTGGCTCTGGGTGATGGAGTCGAAGTCTATCTCCATGAGGGAACGCAGGAAGTTGGGGTCGGACATCATGCCCTTGGCGGTTTTCCAGTTGAGCTCCTTATAGCCTTTCATGATGAGGATACACTCGCAGACTGTCTGCACCTGCTTGGGGGGCTTCGCAAAGGACCTGGGGAGGTGAGGAGAACAGAGGGGTCAGGGCCAGGGACACAGGGCTGACCAGAGGCAGGAGGGGCAGCACTCCCGGTGATGAACTGGACCACCAGCCCGTGCTAGATGACTGGACACCAAACACCAAAGCACCATCAGTACGTGGACGCTGCATCCAGAGACCCTCCACTTGGGTTCTGAGGCTGTACCTCCTAACGGGATGAGACAGCCTGTGGGGGACCCCTGGTGGCCCACGTCTTGGAGGGTATGGACTCATCTCCTCCGACCAGACCAGTAGTCTGGCGCTTGACCAGAAGCAGAATGTGGAAAGTGCCGTCAAGCTGAAACCAACCCGTAGCTGACCCTCCAGTGGGTTTTCAGAGGCGGTAAACCGCCTGAGTGGACACAGCCCATTCTCCTCCTGTGGAGCAACTGGTGGATTCGAACTGCGTGCCTCTGGGATTGCAGCACAGCTTCTTAACACTGGCCACCAGCGCTCCCTGTGCCATAGGGAGGAGGGGCTTCTAAAATGCCAAGCCAGGCCGCTCCCGGGGTGTCCAAATGCGCGGGCCTGGGTAGATCCTGGAACGTGCATTTTTAATCATGCCCTGGGGAGATTTCTGAGACGCTGATGGGCAGCTGTGGTCATCACGCCCATCATCATCGTCACTGCTGCCACCCTGTCACCCATTCACTAGATGAAGGGGCACAGTCGCAGTGCCCACAAGTTCTCCCATGTCCACTCAGGCTGCACCCACAGCCTGGGCTCTTCCCGGTCCACGATGCCACTTAACTGCTGTCTTTGGCTCTGCTCAGACTCGACCTCTCCGCTTCTCTGACCCCCAGCAGCTCCAGCCCCTGGACCCTCCAGGGGAGTCAAACCCCAGGAGCAGGAACAACAGTGCCGCATAAGGATGAGGGGAGCCTGTCTCCCCTGAACTGCGTTTGCTGCCCAGGCTGTCTGCTGACGGGGCACATTCACAAAAGCCAAGAGGACGCCAAGGCCACAGGATGAGGGAAGCAGAAGGAAGATAGTGAATAAAACAGCATGGGGCCCAGGGGCAGAGTGGACACACGCCCTGGAGGTGGGGGGACAGCACAGGGCCCCAGGAGCCGAGCTGGCAGGCTCCCTGGAGGTGGGGGAATAGGAAGGGACACACAGGCAGGGACTGGAGCACGTGCTACGAGCCACGATGACCCCGAGGCGGTGGTGGTGGTGGTTTGGGGCCATCGAGTCAGTTCTGCCCCACAGTGACGCCACGACAGAAGTGACCCCTTCCTGTAGTCCCCACAATCTCTGGGGGGCTGTGCCCACAAGCTTGAGGCGGCTGTGCTGACCCACTGTCAAGACGTCCCCCTCCCTCTCTGACTCTCTACTTTACCCGGCCCCTGTCCTTCTCCAGGGACGAGCCCGTCCTGCCAGCACCGGAGAGGCCGAGTGCCCGTGTGGAGGGGACGGGAGACCAGCCCCAGTCATTACTCCTCCTTGCTGGCTGATGTCCCGAAGGCGGTTCTGAGGGACGGACCCCCACGAACAATGAGGGGGAAGCCTGCCCACTCCAGCACCAGCCTGCAGGCCTCCGCATGTCTGTGCCCACTGGTCGAGGGCGTCCTGTCTCTGACCACGCGTGACGTCCTTCTCCAGGGACTGGTCCCTCCTGACCACATGTCCCAAGGCCATGAGTCTCCCCGGCCTGCCTTTCAGGAGTGGTCTGACGGCACAGGGCAGAGGATGTGCTGCTTCCACCGCTGGTGGAGGAGGGGAAGGTCAGTGCGGAGAGGAGAGAGCGAGCTGACCAACACAGCAGCCCGGGGTCCATCCGTCCATCTGACAACCCCGACGCCTCATGCCCCCAGAGCCCAGCCCAGCCCCCCACAGACAGAGAACCACACCAGCAAAGGACAAGCTGGGACAGCGGCCGAGAGGAAGGGCATCTGTGTGCCAGCCCAAACCTGGCGACTGAAGTAGAGCCATCAGAGTGAGTGGGGAACAGTCAAGGGCTGTTAAAGGGGTCCCTCAGGGGAGGGCGAAGGCTGGACTAAACTGCCCCTCTTCAAATCAGACTGAGAGATGCATTCAGGCACAAGACAGACAGGGCTGGGCACTAAGGGGCGGTTCTGAGCACTTGCAGCACGTCCAGGGGAGTCAGTTTTCCCATCTGTAAAGTGGGTCTGCAGAACTGGAACTTTCCAGCTCCCAAATCTCACAACTGTGTGAAAGTGAGACTCTCGGCTGCGCACGTACAGGGCACGCTCTGAAACCTCATTTCTCCAGAGCTCGACATGCCCGGTCATGTCAGTTCCAGAGCTGACTGCAGGTCTGAACCCTGAAACTCTATTTCATCTGACTTCCTCCTTTAAGTGACTCAGATGAAGTCATTGACCCCTATTTCTCATGGCATAAAAAACCTGAACAAAACAAACTCAGAGACTAAAACAAGAGCCAAGGTGACAGCCTCCCCTCCCGAGAGGCAAAGTCCCCTCGCCCGTGTCCCTGAACCCTCGGCCTTGGACACCGCCGCCTCTGCTCCTCCCAAGGCCCTCCGGCGTGGGCCAGTGCCCACAGCCAGAGGGCCCCTTGAGACTCCAGCTGACCACCTCACAACCCCTGCTTTCTCACTGCTTCCTGGAGCCCAGACTCTGATGGACCACCATCACCCACAGTCACAGCCCAAAGGGCCTCCCTGAAGGAGCTCTGGTAAGAAGCTGTGCTGCAATCCCAAAGGCAAGTGGTTCAAATCCACCAGCTGCTCCGAGGGAGAAGGATGGGCAATGTCCTCCTGTGCAGCTTACTGCCTCTGAAAACCTGCTGGAGGGTCGGCTCTGGGTCACTTCTGACTTGACGGCACAAATAACAATAGCATTCTCTTCCCCTGAGGGAGCTCTGATCCCTTGGTGATAAGGAGGTGCATTGCCAACCCAAAAGACCACGGTTCAAATCCACCAGTTGCTCTGGGGAAAAAAAGATGGGGAGTCTCCTGAAAACCCGCCGGAGGGTCAGCTCTGGGTGAGTTTCTGCCAACCAACAGCCTTCCCCCCGCAGATTCATTCTCATCCTGCACGGAACGGTCTTGCATGGATCCCAGAGCCCCTCACAGACCCGCTGCAAGCCTGCTCGCTCCCTGCTATCGGCCCCACACCCGAGCTGGCCAATGCACGTCATCACTCAACAGACGGCCAGATGACCAGAGGGTTACAGGGGCCGTGGGGAGCCTTAGAGTCTGGCAGGGCGGCGACCAGGGAACCTTTCATGCTCAGCAGAGGTATCCTTTCCTAATCCTCCCACTTTAACCTGCTCGGCTTCTACAAAGGCGACAGAGCATTACAGAGAGAAACACCACTTAATGAATTAAAGGATTATGGGATTGCCAAGAGTTGGGGCTCACTTATCACGGGTAACTATCCTCACAACCTGAACAGAGCCGGATGGCGGTGAAACAAAGAAGGTAAAGTGGGATTGCAAGCTATCTCAGAACGTCCAGAGAAACCTCAGAGACTGACACCACAGCAGCCCTGGAAGCAAACACGGGGAAGGGATCGCCTAACCTCGACGTGGTCATATGGGCTCCCAACTGTCACGCACGCCCAGCAAACACAGAAGAGTGGCCAAGCTTGCCCATGTGGGAAAGAAAAATACCAGCCACAATCACACACACACAAACCCCATCAAGAAAGTAAGACGGCAGATGCCAAAGTTCCCACCAAAGCAGAAAGTGCAAGTGTCCTTCATGCAAAAGGCCCCTGTAAATGGCCAACAATACAACAGCCTGACAGACAGACAGAACAGGCCCCAGACACACACACACACAATGCTTTTTTTTGGAGGGGGGGAAGGGGATATGAGGATTTAAAAAGATGAGCTCCACACACAGAAAGAGAAATGGACTTTAAAGCCACACTTTGAAGTCTGGTAAAATTCCCAGTGTGAATGAGCACCCTCTATTGGTGGGGCTGGGAGACGCAGGTCCTCAGAGATTGTGAAGCCAGAACAGAGCCGGCCTGACTCCAAGTGACCCCACAGGGTCAGAGAACTGGACGCCCTGGTCCTTCTAAGCAGATCACCAGGTATTCCTTCCAAACTGCCTCTGGGTGGACTTGAACCTCCAACTCTCCTCATGACTAGCTGGAGCCGTTCAGGTGGGTAACCCTCAGCTTTCACTTCGAGTGGACAAGGAGGCATCCCGACGTAGACCCACTGCCGCAGGTCACGACAGACTTCAGAGACCTCAGAGGACAGACAAGTGCCCCTTGGGGTTTCCTAGGCCACAGTACGGGGCAGGCTGCGTCCTCTGTCTCCCACATGGCAGCGGGAAGGTTCAAACCGCCGACCTTTCAGTTAGCAGTCGCATCACCAGGGTCTCTCGAAGAAGCCCACTCCGGTTTACTCTGTGTCACCAGAAACAGGGACAGGGAGGAAGACCCTCACTGAGATAGACCGACAGACACAGTGACCGCAGCCATGGGAAGGGGTGTGTTGGGGGAGGGGAGGGCGGCACAGGACAGGACGGGGAGAGATCTCTACTTCATGGGGAGCTGTACCCCACTCGAAGCGCCGAACAGGGACAACCGGAAGCAAGCCTCATCACGTGGGGGTGAGGAGACTTCACATCAAAGTCAGCAGGGCCGGACCATGGAATGCGGCCTGGCTGTGGAAAACTGGGGATTCTCTTCACACAGGAGAAGACCAAAGACCTCCCAGGCCCACGGTTAAGACACAAAAACACCAATGAGCATGGGAAGATAGGCACCATGTGTTATGCAAAAAGGAATAAAATGTACACGCGTGTATCCCTCTCTCTGCAAAGTCAGGCCCCGGCAAGGCCCCTGTGCGTCTGAGCTCCCGGGAAGGGCCAGCAAGGCCGTTCCCGGGAAGGGCCAGCAAGGCCGTGGACACGCACGTGAGAACAGCATGGCTGTGGGCACCGGGGAGCAGGCGGGGGGACTGGGCAGCTGTGGTCAGGGCAGAAGGGGCTCTGCCCACGCGCCTGTCAGATGCTGTCATCGTGATGACGGTTGGCAAGCACATGGTGCTGACCACTGTTGTTGACCACCAGCACTGACCGATCCCGCGGGCCCTTCACTTGGGAGCTCCCCATCCCCACAACGGTCTCTTGCCAGAGGGCCAGCTGTCACCACTCACAGCTGACAAACGAGGAAACGGAAGCACAGAGTAGGGAAAGGACTTGTCACGTAGCCAGTGAGGGCAGAGCCTCGGGTCTGCCTACTCGGGTCGTCACACGCACCACACGCAGGTTACGCACTGGGCTCCACCGCAAAGGTCAGGGGTGCGGATCCAGCAGCGGCTGTGGAGAAGGGCGAGGCCGCCCGCCCCTTCGGGATCCACAGCCTTGGAAAGTTGATGGGAGGGCTGCCAGGGGTTGGAATTAACAACAGGAGATCTGGACTTCCGCTTTTACGCCACAGACAACCTGACAGCGAAGTGGTTATGCTCTCGGCTGCTAGTTAGAAGGTGGGGAGTTCAGGCCACCGGAGACAGATGCTGTAGCTCTACCATCCTGTAGGACAGCTGGGAGGTGGGATCAACTCAGCGGTAAAGGGCTTGGTTTGGGGTTTTTGGAGAATGAAGACAGAAGAGGCCACACAGCAGACGGTTCGGGGAGGGCAGACAGGAGCCCCCGAGTAGAAAGTGCTCAGTGCCCGGCGTGGACGCCGTAACCACCACCTCGGGCACTGCCAGCAGCACGTAGGATGTCACGGCAGGTGACCTGCAGTTAGTTACCTGATCTCCGTCACGTCGGACTTATCCAGTTTCTGCAGCTCCAGCTTGGCGGCCTCCAGGATGGGCATGACCTCAGCCAGCGCCGTCTCGGCCTCGGCCTTCTCCACGGCGATCACCTTGTTCTGCTCCTCTATCTCCACGGCCTTCTCCTCGGCCAGCTTCTTTTTCTCCTCCGCTGCAGGGCGAAGGCCGGGTTAGGGGAACTGCCGGCGAGGGGAGCCCCGTGCACAAGGGCCTCGGGGGGTGTGGAGGGCACTCACACCTTGGCCAGGATGGGAGAAGTGGACATCTCCAGTAGAGGGGTCTCCAACACCAAAGTGGGGACGTTCTCACTCTGACCTCCCCTCTGGCCACCTGTGCGCCACCTGCTCTGTCCACAGCTATGCACAAGCCTTCATGGCCGCCACAACCAGGAGGACACCCTAACCCTGGGCTGGACTTCAGGCAGAAACCCGCCCCTCTGCCTCTCCTTCACTCTCCTTGACGTTCACCCAGGCTCCACCCAAAAGCCTCGCTTGCAGGGGTGCCCACCCCACCCCTGGTATCATCAGTGCTGTCTCTCTGCGTGACAGTGAGTGCCGTGTGAGACATCCTTGTGCTCCTGGCCTGCTTCCTATAGTCAAGCCACTTGCTAGGAGGTGACATGTCCCACTGAGAGGGCTGGGCCCCTCCTGCTTAGAACAGGACACACAGCAGGGGTGCAGTCAGCCAGTGTTGGGAGGATTCTCAGGTCTCATCCCAACAGCCTGCCCTGTGGGACTGGGCCTCCAGAAGAGGCACCCACACGTGTCAGAGGTTGGCATGTTGTCTGAAATCTCCAGCATGGTCTCCCCGGGGCACCTGTTCCGTAGGCCTCAGGTATCCTGACTTGCCAATGGCCGTGTTAGAGGTGATCTCCTCCAGCAGGGTCCCTCCCTCCCCAGGTCACCTCTGTCCCGTGGGCCCCCTGACTTGCCGATGGCCGTGTTGGAGGCGATCTCCTCCAGCACGGTCCCTCCCTCCCCAGGTCACCTCTGTCCCATGGGCCCCCTGACTTGCCGATGGCCGTGTTGGAGGCGATCTCCTCCAGCAGGGTCCCTCCCTCCCCAGGTCACCTCTGTCCCGTGGGCCCCCTGACTTGCTGATGGCCGTGTTAGAGGTGATCTCCTCCAGCATGGTCCCTCCCTCCCCAGGTCACCTCTGTCCCACGGGCCCCCTGACTTGCCGATGGCCGTGTTGGAGGCGATCTCCTCCAGCAGGGCTTCACAGGCCGCAGACTTCTCCGCTAGCACGATCTTCTGCTCGGCCAGCTTCCGGTTCAGCTCGTCCAGCTGTAGGGTGGCCTCCTTCAGCTTGTCCAGCCCGCCCTCCAGACGCTTGCACTGAGCTGTGGGGACAGTGCCAGGGCGTCACCAGGCCAGTGGGCACTTCTACAAGGACCGCCAGCATGGGTCCGACTTGCACTCACCGAGGAACGGGAAAGAAATCCTCTCTTAGGAGATGTCCCATGTACCCCAGAGCCTCTGAGGCTGGGGGGACACAGGCCAGATCAAGGACCCCCCCTGAAAATAGAGCTTCGCTCAGCCCACAACCCCTAAGCAGATCCCACACCAGGGCCTGTGGCGTGCCTTCCAATGCGGGATGGAGCACACAGATGCAGATCTCCAGGCCTTACTTCCAAGGCACCTCTAGGTGGATCTGAACCACCAACTTTCCAGTTCATAGCCGAGCACTTAACAGTACGTGTTACCCAAAAACTCCAGCCAACAGACCCAGCCAGAGCCTATTTTAAACGCTTGTTCCAACCTAGCATATTGATGCCAACAGCAACAACAAAAAAATACGCCTCCCCTCATAAAAATGTGCAAGGAAGGTTTAGAATTACAAAGTGTTCAAAGGGAAGTGGGAAGGGAGTCCTCTAATAGTGCCTGATCCCTGAGACTATGTGGATCTTAGCCACACTTCAAGGCTGTAAATGAAACGGTCAACATGATTCAACTTCCAAGCAAGCAAGAGACAGGTCGATATGGTGATCGTTAACACCAGGGAAGAACACACTCCTTAGGACAATATGCAGCCCAAAGTGCAGCATTTGACCAACAAGAGCGATGAGAAGAGAGGACGGGGTAGGAAAGAAGGATGAATGGAAATGGGAAGCACAGGGAAGAAGTGGGGAGAGTGCCGCTGCACTGAGAATGCCAACTGCAATCAACATCACAAAGCAACGTGATGAACTGCTTGAACATTGCTCTGTAAGCTTTCACTCAAATCACAATTTTTTTTAAAAAAAAAAAAAAGAGTTAAAAAAGAAAAAAAGAACTGCTCTTTTTCATTGCCCGACTGCCGCCGTCATGGGTCGCATGTGTGCTCCCGGGAAGGGCTTGTCCCAGTGGGCTCTGCCTTATTGCCGCAGCGTCCCCACCAAGAAGGGTCTGACTCCTTCCCAGATCAGTGTGATCCCCAGAGATTCACACAGCGCTGCACAAGCACGTTTTGTGACGGGCAACAAAATCCTGAGAATCCTTAAGTCCAAAAGACTTGCTCCCGATTTTCCTGAGGATCTCCACCGTTGAATTAAGAAAGCTGTTGCTGTTCCAAAGCATCTTGAAAGGAACAGAAAGAATGAGGATGCTAAATTCCATCTGATCCTGACTGACAGCCGAATTCACTGATTGGTTGGATACTATAAGACAAAGAGAGTCCTTCCCCCCAATTGGAAATATGAATCATCCACAGCCTCTGCCCTGGTTGCATAAATTTGTCTTTATGTACGGGAGCAATAAAATCATTGTTTAAGTTAAAAAACAAAACAAAACTTGTCAGGGATCTCTTCAAAACCCCAAATTTAACGTTTCTCTTTTGCCTTGCCTTGGCCTGAGTAAAATCAATGTCCAGTGTAGACCCGAACGAGCCTGGACCTCCAGCGGGGTGTCTGCACAAAGCAGCCCGTGGGTGAATCCGCGTTCAGTGTTTAAGCGGGATGCCAGCAGCCGTCCCTCCCCGCGCCTTACCTATGTTATACTGCGTCTTCTCGTCCAGGAGTCTCGAGTACGTGTTGATGAAGTCCAGGTAGTTCTTGGGGGTGACGTAGTTGCTGCGTCGAAGTTTCTGCAGGAACTGTTTGCTGAACTCCCCCACGGATTTGTGCACCAACACAACGTGCTGGACCAGCTCTTCTATGTTTTCCGTTGGGATCATCGAATTGTTCCCTGGAGAGGGAGCAACAACAAAGCCATCTTGTACAGAGAGGAACAAGAGCCCCTGTTCTGGGCTGGAGGCCACAGAACACACTGAGGCCCTGGGGCACCCTTCTCTCTCCCTGCTGCTGGGAGCAGCCATCTACTCCTGGGTCCTGGACTACGCTATGGCTGAACTAGAATATGTATTAGCTTATGGTTTGGCCATTACATAATGATGCAGGATGGTGATTATGTAATGATGTCACCACCCTCCGTGATGTGACTGGACTTTATCACAGTTATAACCAGTTATAAGCAAAGGGAACTTCCCGGGGATGTGGCGTGCATTAGAGGAGATAAAAGGACCAACAAACCAGCAGAGAGGGGAACCAAGGTAGAAAAGGTAGGGGCAGAGTGTTCCCTCTGGACTGAGAACAGCTTGGCCATGAACCTCTTGGCCCCAGGAGAAAACAGATGCCAAGACACAGGGAGATGCCTCAAGGAACTTGGGGCCCACAAATGCAGAAAGAAGACAAGGACCTTCTCCCACAGCCAACAGGGAGAACTGGCTGGAACTCTAGATTACTCTGTCAGAGAATGGATCTCTGATAAAGCTGTCCAGTTGTGGGACACCTTTTACAGCTGAACTGGATGAGATGGACAATATCCTTCCAACATATCAGCCGGAAAAATTAATAACTGCTGCCAGTGCTAAGATCAAATTGCTCTAATTATTTACCAGACCGTGAAATACAATCTCCTCCAAGCAGAGTTTGTCTCTTAGAGTAAAATGAAGCACTGACCAACAGGACCCATTCACGTGGGTTTCACAGGTATCATCATTTTTCAGTTACACGAGCCCAGCAGCTGTGAGGTCAATGTCCATGCACAGCGGCCCACGTGTCTCACAGGAGCACTGTGGTCCACTGGGTTTTCATCATTCAGATTTCGGAAGTCCATCACCAGGCCTTGCTTCTGAGGCAGCCCTGGGTGTCCTCAAACCTCTAACCTTTCAGTTAAGAGCAGAAAGCTCTCTAACAATCCAAGGACTCCCATATCCAAGTCGAACACGACCACTGAGTCAAGTTACTTACTTGTCTTGCAATATCCATAGTTCTGGGCACAGCCTTTACAGAAATTCTTGGACTATAGTCTAAGAGGTGGAGGAATCTATTGTTTAGTTATGTTGTGTTATTCACGACAGCGAAACACTGAAAGCAAATCTAAGTGTTTACCCACTACTGTCAAGTCACTTCCTACTCAGAGTGCCCCTATAAGACACGATAGAACTGCCCCACTGAGCGTCCAAGGCTGCAAATTCCTGTGGAGACAGACTGGCTGTCTCATCTTTATTCTACTAAGTAGCAGGTGGATTTGAACCAATGACCTTTTGGTTAGTAGTAGTGATTAACTGCTATGCCACCATGCCTCTCAGTCCAAGTACTAACATGTAGAAACTGCTAATGCATCTATGGAAACTTGGGCCATCTCTGTCAGAGGCTGACAGATTATAGCCTATAGGTCAAATCTGGCCCCCACCCCCATCTGTTTTTGTTAATAAAGTTTTATTGGCACACAGCCTACTTGTTTACGCATCATCTGACCAATTTCAGGATGCAAAGTAAGGACCGTAATCACAGCGTGACTTACTGAACACAGCTCAGACTCACCTAGGAAGGACTTGGCCACTGCATACAGGGCCTGGGGCGGCCAGGGCATGAACCAGTCGATGCCCGTGTTATTAACCAGACCTTGGAGAGAAACAGACAGGTGGAAGATACGTGAGCCTGAGGTGCCCAAGATTGGATCCCATCTCCGTGCCACCACACTGAACAAGGTGGACACTGCGGAGTAGAATCGAGGGAGAGCGGGCGGTTCCCCAGTCTCTTGGGCACGTTGGCCAGGTCGCTCTGGTTTAAAGGGCTGTCCTGGACATTGCAGAATGAGCAGCACCCGGTCTCCATCTGCTGGACTCTAACAGTGTCCCCTGCCTGTGACAACTGAAAGTGGTGGGGGAAACCCCTTCTCCGAAGACATCAGATACAGCACGTCTCACAATGGAGATGGAACCTTCCTGAACGGAAGAGCGGAGAGTCTAGTTGGCACTCACTATGGATTCAGGAGAACACCAACCACATGCGCGTGACAGGTGGAGGCAGGCACGTGGGGGCCAGAAGTCCACCCACGGCTGCAGCACGGGTTACTCTGCCCGTGTGTACCTTTCAGTCCAGCTGCCCCTAATCAGTGCCCAGTGCCGAGAGCCGTGCACATGCCCACTGCCTGGAAAGCAGGTGAGCAGGCACAGGTACCTGGAACATTCCAGGAGCCGTGGGCATGCGCACTGCCCAGGAGGCAAGTGCACGAGGAGCAGGTTCCTGGGCCATTCAGGGAGCTGTGCGCATGCGCCTTGCCCGGGAAGCAGGTGTGCAGGCCGCCCAGGTGCCTGGGATGGTCTGGGAGCTGTGGGGGGATGCACAGTGCCTGGGAAGCAGGGGCGCAGGCACACGGCATGGTGTGGGTGGTCCGGGAGCTGTGCGCATGCGCCCTGCCAGGGAAGCAGGTGCACAGGTGCAGTGCGCGGATACCTGGGAAGTTCCTGCAGCGCGTCCTCAGGGTCTCCCCAACCGGCGACATGCCGAGGACGATGTGCAGTTTGTTGGCGCTCTTGTTCACGAAGTACTGCCACACCGACTCCTTGGCCGGTCCCATCCCGTGCTTCAGGGCTTCGGGCCCGATCTGCCCCAGGATGGACTCCTTCTCATCTTCCGGGAAGAGTGCTGGCACCATGCCTGCACCAGGAACGGGCCCTGGAGTCAGTGCCTCCTCGGGTCACAAGGGGCTTGGGGGAAGGAGACGGCAGGTGGGGGTGGGGTGGCGGGGTGAGGACCCTTCCTGGGTCAGCATGAGGCCTCATCTATGAGCCAGCAAAGGCTGGAGCGTGGCTAACTCTTCCTCTACTGGATGAAGTGAGGCCGGGGCTCCAGTGTTGCCTTGTCCCTTTGCCACAGCCCAGCTGGGGCCCCATGAGCCCCCTTCTATACTACAGCAGAGTTGAGGAAGCACAGACCTCCGCCTTCCTCCACCACAGCACAGCTGGGTGCACCCCAATGCATCCCCTTCTCCTCCTTTATCAACCTCCACAGTTACAAGTGATGCAAAGTCTGGCATCCAAGACAGGCTGACTGGTAAACCCCTTTGAGTCTCCGGAGCGAGGTGTCTCGGGCCTGGTCTGTGACCCAGCAGAGACCAGCGTGTCCAGGTTCCCCCTCGCCACACACACCTGAGGTGAGCATGTTGTTGATAAGCTCCAGGAAGCCCTCTTCTGCCACATGGGCGTCTGTGAACAGGAAGATCATCGTCTTGTTCTCCAGCCCCAGCTTCTGATACAGGGTCTTCAGATCTTCTCGAAAGTTATTCTCAGAGTAGCCGCGGCTCAGAAGAATCTCGAATACCTGATGAGACAGAGTGGGGCACCGCTATGGGGTGGATTCACAGGAGGCCTCTCTGGGAGAGTCGGCTGCAGAAGGGAAGGGGGCTGGTCCAGAAGAGAAAGCTCCTGGAGCGACTGGTCAGTGAGCCTGAGCCTGGCTCAGGGGTCAGCAAGTGTCCAAAGGCCACTAGACTTGAATGGAAATTGTGGTCTGCTCCACATGGCCATGTACACACATCGAGTAACACCAGATGACCAAGTAAAAGCGGACTTGATGTCCGGAGTCTACGTCTCAGCACAAACAGAGGCATCAAAGAGAAACTATGATCCTGGTGTTGAATGAAGGAGCCCTGCTGGCACAGCGGATTGAGCACTAATCAAAAGATCAGTGGTTCAAATTCACGAGTCACCCTGAGGGAAAATGAAGCCATCTGCTTCCGTAAAGTTTTACCGCCTTGGAAACCTTAAAGGAAAGTTATTTTCTGTCCTGTGGGGTCACTGGGACTTGAAGGTAAACTCAGTGGTAGTGGGGCTTAGTTGTTTACTATTAAATGGGAAATCTCCCACAGAAGACCTCTTTTAAGTTCTAAAATGCATAGTTGTGACCTTGACAAGTCAAGTGTCCCTTACGCAAGCCGTGGTCTTTTCAGTCTCATGCAAAAAGCTGGACAGAGAAAACTGAAGAAGTGATATATTTAAAATAAGTTTCTGGGGGAAAATACTGAGCAAATTGTGGACTGCAAGAAGGACAAATAAATCTTAGGAGCTCTGGTGACCTGGTGGTAAGAAGCTGTGGACTGCAATCCCAAAGGCACGCAGTCCACCAGCTGCTCTGTGGGAGAAGAATGAGCAGTCCCCTCCCCTCTGCTACACGGCCTCTGAAAGCCCGGTGGGTCAGCTATGAGTCGGTTCCAACTAGACAGCACACAACAACAGCAGCAAAGAAGAATAACCCCACAGGCTCCTAAAAGTGAGGAGAACGGGACTTTAACTTGGGTGCTTTGAACACATCGTCGATCAGTGCTAGAAATGTTGGGTAAAATACAAGGTCAGTGGAATGAGGGAAACCCTTGGTGAGATGGATGGACACACAGCCAGAACAACAGGCCCAAGACATACTGACGTCCTGAAGATGATGAAGGACTGGGCAATGTTTCATCCTGTTCCATACTAGGTTGCTATAAGTCAGAGGTCGCTAACAACAAGATTGAATGAAATCCAACGTCTAAGAGTTAGAGAAAGGCTTGGGGGTAAGGAGTGAATTAAGAAGAACTTTTTTTCAAAGCCAAGCCTGAATGCACTGTGTGTAGCTCCGCTGTGAGGGCCCTGCAAGTGAATGCCCCCCCCACCAAAGCTGCACATCGCATGCAAACGGTGGTCCAGAATGACACGCAGGAAATCGCCGACACCACACCTGAAGTTGGCCCACGTCTCAACACAAGCGTATCTGACAGTTGGCAAAGATCTCCTCATATTTGATTGTTGAACTTGATTTGTCATAATCTCCGTTACTGAGACAATATGATAGATGTGTTGTATAGTCCACTAGAATGTTAATGACAGCTAAAATAACAGCAAAAAAACAACAGCCATTCTCGGTGAGGCCATCACAGTATGATCTGCTGGGATTGCTCCATCCCGTGGGGGGCCTGTGGTGGCCTGAGTGTCGCTGGGAGCGTCGCCACTGGTGTGTCAACAACCAGGAGGGTCCCCCATGGTAGACAGGTTTCAGAGAGGCGCCCAAAGACATGTTGTTGTGTTGTTAAGTGCCGTCGAGTCGCAGGCAACTCATAGCGACCCTATGAAGGAGAGACCTCAATGCTTGTGTGTCTCTCATCCTCTCTCCAGGTTCATAAGGTTTCTGGAGGCAAGCTATGACGGAAGTGGATGCCACTCCTGCTTCCAAAGACATACGTGAAAGAAAATCTGTCCAACTGATTGTCCCCAAAGAAGGACCCAATGAAAACCCTGTGGCTGACCGTAGAATGCCGTGTGGGTTTGAGAGGGAAGAGGTTGGGAGGCACCCAGAATGCACAGTTGGCCACTTCCAAGGACTTGAGCACCCAGTAATGGTTGAAGACGGTGCGGGACCTGCAGGGCGTGGGGCTTGCAGGGTGTGGGGTCACGAGGAGTCAAAAGCGACCTGACAGCCACCAACAATGGCCTGGATTGTTCCCTGTGCGCATTAAATGCAGGAGAAGCGGAGAGGGAAGACGGGCTTACCTCCCAGCCCGCTGTGAAGGCCGCCAGCCTGGCAAGGCACTGCTTGCCCGAGCCCCCGACGCCGATGAGCAGGGCGTGGCCTCTGTCCATGCGGATAATGCGGTGCACGCGGGTCACGTGCTCCAAGGCATCATCGAAGAGAACCAAGTTCATCCTGGTGTTACTTTCATTATATTCTTCGAGAATTTCCTGAGGGTTTCAAAAGAAATAACAATACATTTTTAAACACCAAGCGCTGCCTATGCCTGGGAGAAATCAAGAGACTTCTATAAGAGTCTAGAGTAGCTGTTTTCCACCTTCCAGTCAGTTGAGGTAAGCATAAACCACACGATAAAATAAAGACTGTTGTTGTCGTTGTTGTGTACTATAGAGTCGGAACCGACCCATAGCTGACTCTCTGACAGGTTTTCAGAGACAATCGCACAGGAGGAGATTTCCCATCCTTCTCCCGAGGAACGGCTCGTGGCCTCACACTGCGTGCCTTTGGGACTGCAGCACAGATTCTTGTCACGAGGCCACCAGAGCTTAAGATTAGAGTGGTCAAATAATTTCATCTGATTTAGATTCACGGTCAGTACGAACTCGTGAAATATTATGCAAAAATGGGTGACCCTGGAGGACATTATGCTGAGTGAAATATCTCAGTCACAAAAGGACAAATAATTGCATAGGGCCACTGCTGTAAAACAGGAGACAGAGAAGGAAGGGAGGAATGATGCATACTGCATTGAAACAGGTAAGAGACAGAACTGTTTAGAAGGGACAGATGAATGGGTATTCTTGTCATTACAGAAGTCCAGAGTGAAGGCTGCATAGTGGAGTAGACTTGGGGGAAAGGGATTGCATAACAATAAGAGAGTTTTTCTTTTTCTTTTCAAGGAGAAGAATGAATTGGGGGGACGGGTGGGCGGGGAGAAAAGTGCAACAAAGAACGACTGGAAACCCTAAGTCTCTGTAAACTTTCGTTAAAATTAATAATAATTTAAAAAAGAAGAAAGAATGGTGCAACTCCGTCTCACATACTTCAGGCATATGTGATTAGGATAAACCTGTCCTTGGAAAAGGAAGTTGTACTCGTCAGAGTATCGACAATAAAAGGTCTTTGATGAGATGAACTGACAGTGGACGCAACAGTGTGGGTCCAAGCACAGCCATGCTTGTGAGGTGGGCGTGGGACAGGACAGTGTGTTCTGTTGGACGCGGGGCACTATGAGTGTGCAACTAACAACATGTTGTTGTTGTTGTTGTTAAGTGTCGTCGAGTGGTAGATGACTCATAGCGACCCCATGAATGAAAGAACTGAGCACTTGTATAACTTGCACCGTTTGTCTAAGTTCCTAGAGTCTCTGGAGGCAAGCTATTTCAGAAGTGGATAACCTTCCTGCTTCCAAGCCTGACAGTGTTTGGTGGAGCTCCCAGAGTAAAACAGGCTTGGAAGCACGAGTGACATCCACTTCTGAAACAGCTTGCCTCGAAACTCTGTGAACTTAGAGAAGGGATGAAAGTTATACAAGGGTTGAGGTTTTTCGTTCATAGGGTTGCTATGAGTCACCTATGCTTGATGGCACTGACCAACAACAAACAACACTTTAACATTCCAGCCCTTGGGAAATGACATCATGCTGAGAGAACTGGAAAGTTGGAGAAGAAAAGCAGATCCTCAACACAATGGGTTGATACGGTGACTGTCGCAATGGGCTCGAGTGAGTCTTGGATTGTGGGGATGGCGTGGGATGGGGCAAGGGTTAGATCTGTTGTTCATAAAATTGCTGTGAGTCAGAGAGAAAGCTCTGTTGGCCTAGTGGACAGAAAGCTACACTACTAAGCCAAAGGTGGGTGATTTCAGTCCGCGGCCCTCGGGCCTGGCTTTAATTGGTTTTGGTCAAACATTCTAAATGGTACAGCACTGGTCTGTCCATTGGCTGTACAGTGCTAACTCGTGGTTGCTGTGATGCCAACCAACAGCATAGTGGTTGAAATGACTGAGTCACTGGGGTTGACAAGACTGCCTGACTGAGGCTCAGGAATCCCATGTTCTTTGGTTGGCCAGCAGCGAGCAGAAGCCTATTATTAGAAGCTTATTTTGAGGGTCATTAAAATGGAACCAAGAGCTCAACAGTGACAAGCCTGACGGCACACAGTATTCCGAGAGTCCACGGGCTTGGGGAGCTAAGCTCTGGACTGTCTGTGAGGAATCCCTTGGGCCATTCTGTCGCACCGCTAGACAGATCACCGGAGGGGACACAGCTCGTGTCTCAGAGTCCGAGGCCGCAGCGGGCTTCCCTGCCTGGACCAGAGGCTCTTTGCATGCCCTGGAGGAGATGGGCCCGTCACGAGGAAGCCCCGTGCACACCTGGAACAGAGCCTTGGCCGCCTCGTAGTCCTGGATGTCTTCATAGACTCGTTCTTCGTCCTCATGCAGGGCCAGCCGGAAATCTCCAAACAGGATGGGGTCTCTCATGACTGTCTCCAGGTCCTCGTGAAAATGCTCCTCCACCAAGCTTCGTATGTGGTTTTGCACCTTAAATTATAGAGAAAAAAGCGTGTGCTTCTTCCCAGAATTCACAGACCTTTTCTCTCGGCAGCTCACCACTGCAGCTCTCACATATTTGGGCATGTTCATCAGGAGAGCCTAGTCCTCGGAACAGGACACCACGCTTGGAAAGGCGGAGGGTCACTGGAGGAGAAGACGGGCCGCAGGGTGGACTGACACACTGGGCGTCAGCACAGCGGGACTCTGAGGGGGACACAGGACGGGGCAAGGTGCCCATCTGCCCTGGGTGAGGTCACTGCGGGTCAGGGCTGGCTCCAGCACGTCTCGCCTCCACCCTGGGTCATCGGCACTCCTTTACCTGCTGGCTTTTACGGTGTCTGGTCTTCTGCAAGAGACACCCTGGGGTCACGGGTGACGTGGGCTGATCTCACCTTGGTGGCTGTGAGTTCAGAGCTGCGGTGGCTGCCGTGTGTGGCTGTACTCACCAGTTCCTTATCAGTTTCGTTGATCAGTCGGTCGTGGAAGACCCTCAGACACTCGTTCCTCCAGACCCTCACCATCTGGGGCACCAACTGGAACCTGCAAGGTCAAAGGGGCCAGAACAGCCATGCAGTCACCCAAATACATGACCCAGAACCGGACCTCCTGCCCTCGAGCCAGTGATGACACGTGACACCCCTCTTGGCTAGAAATCTTTTGGGGAGCAGACCACCTCATCTTTCAAACCGTCAACCTTTTGGTCATCAGCCCAACACATACCCACTGGGCCACCAGGGCTCCTCGCATGCGGGCATGCAGGGCTCCGTGGACGCCTTTCAGACAGGTACACAGAGTGATCATCATCTGAGATCTACAGGCAGCATTTGCCCAGGACCAAGCTCAGAAGGCAGGAAGGGACAGGAGAGGAGACAGACACATGGGCATGGAAACCAGGAGGAGTGGAGGGGTGCTGTGAGGACGCAGGGATCAGAATCAGGGCCACGGAATAAGTGTGTGTGACTTATACCTAAAAAAAAAACCCACAAAACCCAACTATATTTCCTGCCAATTTTTGCCCAAATCACAATAAAAAGTTGATTTACTTTCATTATCAGGCCTTTAGTAAGGCATTTAACAAGCACCTTTTTTTTTTTCAATTTTAACATAAATCTCCAAAGTACTGAAGAGCAATGACGTCACTCTGGATACTAAGGTGCACCTGATACAGACCATGGTCTTTTCACTTACTTGCTGTGCATCAGAGAGTTAGACAATGACTAAGGCGGATAGAAGGAGAACTGATGCCTTTGAGCTGTGGTGTTGGAGAAGAGCATTGAATATACCATGGACTGCTAAGAAAACGAACAAGTTCATCCTGTTGTTGTTGTTATGTGCCATCGAGTCATTTCCGACTCATAGCGCCCCTATGCACAACAGCCCTAAACCCTGCTCTATCCTGCGCCAACCGCACCGCCTCTGACACACCCATCCCG